CACAGCATGTGAGTACTAAACTAAGTTCTCATTCACACACAAGTTTACTTAAAAATACACATGAGTTACAAAAAACAGTCAGTTATGTCCGTGAAGGTAAAACAGCTGGGAAATAAATTAGATCTGTGTGGCAGCAGAAATATACAGTAAATAAATCAATAAATCCAATGCTGTCTTGTCTCCTCTGAGGCTGGGACTCTAAACAGTGTTCTGTGCTCGTCTGTGCAGCCAATGACAGAACAGTTAGCATGTTTTGCTCAAACTTTCGCCATGGCATTAGAACTGGTACACCGTTGTCGCTTGCAAAATCAAAATGACGGCAACGTGGGTGGAAACTTACAGATTAAGGGGCGGTAATATTATAATGAGATCCCTTTGCCACGTCACCAAGGGAGTGAAATCTGACGCGCTCATTTTCTCAGACGCTTGCAGAAAAAGGATTACCAAAACAAAGTTACTGGGTTAATCTTTTTCACATTTCCTTGGTTGGTAGATGCACCAAGGACCTGATTATAGCACTTAAAACCTGGAAAAGTCAGATTTTCATGATGTGTCACTTTTAAACTCTTTTGAATGTTTAAATTGGCAAGGCTTAAAAACACGTGCAAAAGATAAGCTTTCATGACGATGCGCAGTAGTGGCCCGTCAACTGTCCTGGGCATCTTTTTAGGCTGGCCTCAGCCAGTCAGTTGAGATCGCTCGGGGGTCCCCTCAGTCGTGGACTCGTGGGCCCCTATAATCGTCACCACCTTTCAACCCACTAGCGACAGCCCTGTACAGGGCTGTATACACACACACACACACACACACACACACACACACACACACGGGTTTACTTTTGTGAAAAGTGGGGACTCTCCATAGGCGTAATGGTTTTTATACTGTACAGATCGCATATTCTATTGCCCTACACCAACCCTACCCCTAAACCTACCCCTCACAGGAAACTTTGTGCTATTTCAGATTTCCAATATACTCCATTCTGTGTGATTTATAAGCATTTTGAAAAGTGGGGACATGGGGTAATGTCCTGAAAAGTCACCTTCTCCTTGTAATACCTATGTTATACCTTTGTCATTATACAA